CAGAGCTTGGGCGCTCTGATTAGTGAAGCTTCAGTGTACGTGCTTCTATGGCCTCGAGAAATAGCGCCAGAAGTGAAATGCACACCGGGACTGGAACCGAGTGAAATCGGTCAACCAGCAAGAGAAAGAACGGATCTACGAGACAATGAGGGGATCTGGATTGGAGGCCCGAGTCGGATCAGCCGATCGAAAAAGGGGGGGTTGGGGTGAATAGCAAGTGTGATAAGGCCATAATTTTATTCACGACAAAAGAGCACAGATTTTGACAATGTAAACAAATGAGAAGTTCTGATAGAGCGGCAGTGGGATAAGAGGGTGAATAGTAGCTAGATAGGCCAGGACAGAAAGAGGAGTGATGGTGTAACCGTTTTCGGCTTAACGTTTGTCGAGGGATTGACTTCACTTGTCTCTTTGGCGAGTTCGTAGCTTGGTGCGGAGAATGGCAAAGCTCACTGATGATGCCCACTATGATGCCGGCGAAACGTTTGAGAATGCATCACGTCCACTGACAGATGCTGGGAATCATGACAACTACTATGGCAAACGACTACGGACTAGGTGCGTTCTACCAAGTTGCCCTGATAACAAGACTAAGTTGCGACAACGAGGTCAACCCACATTTATAAACCATTTCTATCTATCGTTCCATCCTCCTGTCCTTTGACAATCTGTTTTTACCAAAATTCTGAACTCATCACACCTATTTTGGGTTTTTATTTAAAGTATAATATTTGATTTATCATTGCATACATCGTTCCCCACTCGACTCAATTTTTATTTGTATTGATCATTCCGCTACATACATTTGTGCTTCAGTGAGTTGTTTGGTCTGGTGTAAAATAAGTTAGTCAACACACAGCTTTAATGAGTCTCCCAAGCTCACTACAATAAAGGATTTATTTAGGAGGATATATTTTGTTTTTATCTACTAAACCGTTGACCTTTTAGTGTATGTCGTGATTTCCCGCATTGGACCATTTGCTGGGTACATTCCCAAACGTTTAGCCGGTGTCATCAGTGAGAGGCGTCATCGCAAACACAGAGTTACAACTTATCAAAGTGACAAGTGATGGCAATCCCCTTGGCCAATTTTCTGTTTAATTGTTTTCGCGCGGATTTCCTTCACTTGTCGCTTTGATAAGTTGTAACTCTGTGTTTGCGATGACGCCTCTCACTGATGATGCCGGCGAAACGTTTGGGAATGCGCCCATACAATGGTCCAATGCTGTAAATCACGAATACTTTGGCAGAGGACACGGGACTAGGCACGCTCCACAAGGTCTCCCTGATGCTCCGATGAAGTTGCGAAAACAAGGTCGAGCCAACACTATAAAGCTAAAGGAGACTGTGAAGAAAAAGGCCACACCATCTTGGTCTTCATATATTTGACTTTTTGTTTGACGTCTTTTCTAGCTTTTAGTACATTGTTGTCTTTCCCTAAAGAGGTTCAACCCAATTCCAGTTAAACAACTGGCTTATTTATGGACCTCACCCGAGGAGTTTTGCTTGTGCTAAAATCGCCTTCACCACAGGGCATGATTTTTTAACAAGCAGACAAAGGGCGTAGCTACCACGAGCGTGACCCGAACTTGACCGACTGTCTACTATTCTATAAGACAACTTTTGATGTGATTTAATCGAGTTAAGCTGTTTTGGATCTTAGGGTTGACTTGGTAAGGCCTTAGTTAAAACTATCAGTAGCAGGTATCTATTTCAGGACTATTTGAAGCCTAGAAAAAGCTTCCTGATTTTTTAAATAGTACTCCATTATCAACTTTGGGTCTCTATGTTTCTAAAGATTCAGTAATGATCAGTATCGCCTTTCTATAACGTTTGATCAGCTTTCTTTTCTCCTGATTGTTGAGTCTATTGATGTTCCTTCCTATTTTCTTTAGTATTCGGCAATATATTGACTTTTAGTTGAGAAGTTTATCTACATATGCCTTTTATAAATATATAAGCTATATTTGCTACAGGGATAATTTATTTTCCTAAGTGGGCCCAATTGATACCACTACAGAATAGGAATTAATAATGCAAAAGTACGTTTTTACACTTAAGTGCATTAAACTTTTTGCATGCTACTTTTGAGCCACTTAGCGGAGTGCAGATTTTATTCTTGTAAACATCAATTGCTTCACAACATTTGCACTTTTCCGATATAGTGAAAATTTTTCTTACTTGATAGGCAAACCTGAAGCAGTAAAACATCTATTTTTGTCTATGTTTTTTATGAAGCTTACCCTTATTTATGTTATATAGCTCGTCCTGCATGTATAAACCCGAATCGTGGCTGCCAACTGAGGAAAAGATGCAGAGAAATGGAGGTGGAAGAGGACTTGATTGCCAGGAGGGTAAGAGACATTCGGCCGGACCGACTAATGTAGCACACGGAAACGCCTTTGTCTCCCAGTCTTCTGGCACTCTACGTCCGCGAAAGTCTGTCTCCCGACAGGCTAGTACAGCAGCCGGCCAGCCGGCTTTGACAAAGTTTTGCCAGTCTGGCCATCAGTCTCTGGAGGTCAAGGAGGGATCAGCAGTGATCGTGGAAATAATGCACGAGCCATCGAAAACTGAAACAGCTATTACTGCCACTTTTGTATCAACACAAACCGATGCCAAAGACGAAAAGACGCATGGCGTCAGTGGAATAGAAAGTAATTGTTTGTCACCACAGGAATTAGACAGAACAGAACTTGTCACCAAGGGTGAGCATAAATTAGCATGTATAACCACACTATCTGTCTTATCGTATTTCATATGTTAGCCCTTACGGATATCATAATTACTGTTTAGGGTTGTACGAATGCAGATTGATTATTGCTTTTCTACGATGCAAGTAGAACATTAATGTAATTTTAGCTCTAGCAAACTAAATAGTGACATTATTAAATAACCTCACTTTATGTTACAAGTTGTGTAGCTTACCAGATAGGTCGGCATAATCATGTGGTTGAAGTAAGTTAGTTCTGGGCTTTTTAACAAATTGACTTACAATTATGTGAGTGGTCTCAATAATTGAGAACGAGTACATTTGATCGAGTTCCGCCTTGATTGCTTATGTTATCTTTTGCAATGAGACGTAGGGATTATTTCAAGCGTTCCATGAGTATAAGTTATGAAATCTATGATAATAAGGAGTCTGAGTCATGCATATGTCGACCCTCTGAAGAAGGAACTGAGGCGATCAAGAAAGATTTTAGTGGACAATGATTACCGATTTGGATAGATCGAGAATAGCTTCAAAATACTAGCGAATAGGGTGGAGGTAGCCATCTATTTGGGGAAAGATATGCAGCTTGACAGCTCGGCTAAAGTCCTGAAGCTACCGTAGTGTGAGCTCTCGAATAAGACATCTAAATCACTGTGGAAGTGGGAAATCAGGATAATGTATAAAGATAAAATAACATATTCTTAGTAATGCCATCTTTTAGGGG